GCCTTGCCGGGAGCGAGCGGCGCCCACGGGTGTGCAATCCCTGCGGACCAGCGGACAGCGGGATGCCCTGGGAGAGAGCGGAGCCTGCAGTCGGAGCAGCCACCAGCCCCGCTGTCACACCAACGCCGCCGTGACAACAGCCAGTGATGCTGAAGGGATTGGAAACCAGAGGAAGAAACGCGCTCGGCTGGAGGGCATCCCCCCGCGGCCCCCGACCAGCATAGACCCCCGGGCCTCAGCCAGCGCCGGCAGTGCAGAGCCCAACGTCAGCACCAGCGCGACAAGCATCAGCTCCCTCTTCACACACCCTGCGCTTTAACAAAACGACGTGTGTTCTCTTCGCAGCCAGCTCGTCACGAACCACAAACAATTGTCATTTCAGTTTTCTGAAGGCTATAGGAAACAGAAAGGGATAAAAGCAACCAAGTTCGTATAAAAATAAAACCACTTTAGTAGATGGAATTTCCTTTTAAAGGTGGGTGCCCATGAGCTTGGATCATCAGTATTTCCTCAAGGACCTTGGCTCTGATCCCTGCAACAAACCAAATTTGGTTGCTCTTTGGTTTCCACCCACACTCGTGCTCTAGCTGCTTTTTAACCCCTGCGCTGCTTCGAACGCCAGCTGCCCACCACCTAAGGCTTACGAAATGACACCCCCGGAGGGCACGGGCAACGCCATTTGTGAGCCTGTCCACAGGAAACATCCACTTGCCCAGGGTCATCCCGCATGACCCCATGACACCCGGTGACAGGGACTCTGGATGTGTCTTTGCAGCCAAGTCAAACAACGGTTCAGGCACCTCCGCTGCTCTCCTTCCTCCCCGCGGCCCCACTGCTCGAGGCTCGGTGTCTGCAGAACTGTTCCTGCAGCACACAGGGAACAGGCTGGGCAAATTCCTCCGCTCGAAAACAGCCACCTGCCTTGCAGTAACTTCTCAGCCGGCTCCCTCCCCGGGTCTGGTCCCCACGCAGTGACACGGACCCCTCTGCCAGCCCGCACGACACAGCCACTGACTGGGGAATTCCTTTGATTATTTGCTTGCAGGCCAGAAGAGAACTGGAGTCTGTTCCTCTGAAGAGAAAGCAAGGGACGTAACTGATGGCAGCCGACTGCCTTTGCTCTTCGTCTTCTCTTGGGGACCCACAAAACCATGGTCCCAGAACCACTCGAGTTGTAAGCAAGAACTACTCCATTCATAACACAAAGATGATATGTACAGACTCATACATTGGTGTGTGTATGTAAATATAAATAGCTATATAAACAGAGCGAGGAAAAAAAAGCATCCACAGATAAGCTAATTTTATCACAGCTAAAAACCAAGGAAGAACGACGAGAAAGCTGGAACAGTCAGGCAGATGATCTCCGGCATGTCCATAGCAAAGACTGCAGAGCTGTCCCGCAGCAGCCGAGACCCGGCAGTGAACGGCTCGCTCCCGGCACTCCGTAACAGGTCTCTGAACGACGGCGCAGAGCCGTCCGACACCAACCAGAACACTGCGAGGCCTTTCAACCAGTGTGACCAGTGATGGCTTTTCAGCCACTGTTGACGGTAGCCAAGAATGCTTCCAATTCTTCTTTATTTAAAAGCAAGCATTGAAAATGGTGTTCTTTTTTGCCACGGGAACGCAGTAACATCTCATTCCTCTGCTGGAGCAAAGAAGCATGGTACGTTGTCTGGTCTTTCAGATCTGCAGAGCTTTTATTTAGTTATTTATTAATAGCCCTATAATTACTATCACAGTTTTCAACTCAGTACGTTAATAAACACAGACCAGAGAGGCACCCGCACATCTCCTCCCTGTCTGCAAAAAGGCTGAGCTCGTGCTGCAGCACGATGGACCCATCGTAATTCACTCAGCTTGTTCCGACCCCGGGCTGGGTTTATCGGGGTCGCCATGCTGGGACCGCCGCTGCCCAGCGTGGTGAGGAGCCGCAGCACAGGTCCCGCGCTGCTCACCCAAACGCGCCACCAGACT